AGAGGAGAGGAAAGGAGAGAAGAGGCGGCGGCGCGCCGGGCGCCCCGGCGGCGCGCCCCCGCCGCCCTTAAAGCGGCCGCGGCGACGGGGCGGGGGCGCGCTCGTGTGCACGCACCCGCTCGTGTGCACGCTCCCGCCCCGCCGCCTGTGTGCGTGGATTTGGGGAGGACGAGGTGTAACCGAGCCGCGGAAATTCGCCGTTTGGGATTCCGGGTTCTGCGCTCCCGCCCCGGTGGTGTGTGTTTGAAGTTTCTTGTGTCATTATTCCGCCCCCCGGTGCGTGCTGCGGGGGGCCCGCGGGTTGGCGATGGGTGGCGGTGTCCCCCGTGTCACCCCCCCGCCCCCCCGGTTGTGTGCATTACTCTGGGTACTGTCAGAAGGGTCCGAWCCCCCTCCCCGCCCCGAAATCGCACAGTTCTCCATCCCCCTTCGATATCCTGTATGACTCCGTGGTCCCCCACAGAATCACAGAGCTCACTGCCGTGCTGGCTATTTCCAGAAATCCTCATCGAAATGCCGATTTTTAGATATTTTTCTCTTCCAGTGGTATGTGTCTTTTTGGGTACTGAAAGAGACACCTCCACCCCCACTACCCCTAGAATTACATAGATTTTCCTCCCCCAGTAATACACATCATTCTGGGTATTGCTGGAAGCATCCCACAAAGCTGCTGGTTTTCCCCCAATATTTTGCATTATACTATGTATTTCCAGAGAGCCACCTCAAAAGGAGATAATTGTTTGGTGTTYCTGCAAAGTCAGATGAAGGCTGTCCCAAGCCTGCATCCACAGCCCCCCCAGGCAGCAGTTTCTGAGTGAGCGATAATTTTGCACAGGAAACAGAGGCAGAAAATGGTGTGAATTCAGGATGAAGGAATGGTTGCTTGTATTTGATATTTCCTGGCTGTGCTGTAGTCTGCTGATGCTTAAATTTCATTCAGAGGTGGTTTTTGTCTGTTTCTTTGTTAATTACATCCATTCCGGGGATTCTGTTTCAGAAAGGAAAGGGTTTGGCCGGGTTTATCAATGAGGAGTGTGCTCAGCTCTGGCTCTGTCATTTGCTATGCTCCTCTTTGCTTACCTGTAAACCTTCCACATTTGTGGTGTTTCCAGAGGAGAGGAGATGGTCAGCAGGAGGAGGAACAGAGTAGGAAAATTCAGAAGTCATTTGTGGAATGGCAGTGATTTTCTCTCGYCCTTCCTCAGCTTTGGGGTCACTAGAGCAGAGCCCTCATGACTTGGGTATTTAGCACCGTCTGCAAGTGGCTTTGTGTCCATCCAGGTTTACCCCACAGCCCAGGATGCCAAGGCATTGGATTATGCTGCATCCAAAGAGCCCCCCATCAGGAGGCATTGCTCGGCTTTCCTTGGACATTCTCTCCACATTCTCTCCACATTCTCTCCACTCAGGTCATGAGTGCCAAAAATCACCGTTGGAAGCTGGAAGTGCACTCCTTACTGGGCAAAACTGTTGGTCCCAGTGGGGATTTTGCAAATGTAAGGGTTTAAGGACCTGATTAGATGTTTTCTGCTCTTGAGGATACCACCCATTGGGGTGTGCAAAAATTAGAGAAGGCACTTGTGTAAGGATTTGTCTAAAGCAAAGCAAAAATTAATAGGCCCTGGAGATAGGTCTTATCCAACTGTTCATTAAATCATTTCCCAGAAGAGGTGGGGCTTGAAGGTTGGTTTCAACTCTCATAGAAACAAAGATACAATTTTAGGAGCTTTATTTTCCAGATTTTTTTTTTGTTCCTATGAAAGTCAAAACCAAATCCCCACCTGCCTTGACCTTTTGGATTCTRCCATGACATCTGGGCTCAGCTACTTATTGGGCTGCTCAGAAGAACCTGCAAAATATTCCCCTTTCAGCAATTGATTCCAACTTTGCTGATCTATTCCAGCAGAGAGCGAGGCAGGTTCTACACCAATACTGAGACTTGCCTCTTCAAATGATGTCTCCCTGGTATCATAAGAGGCAATCTTAAAGTGTTTCAATCTAAAAGTAAGTTTCAACAGGTCTCATTACATGAGAAAAGTTATTACACACTATTGCAATTTCACAAAAGAAGGGTAAAAGCAATGGATTTTTTTCAAAGAACAGTTTCAATTAGTATTTTTCTCACTAATTCAAAATCCTTCGCAAAAGCTGCTAGTTTCATCATTTTATATTTAAAGCACATTTTTAAATTAGTTTAGGGTTTTCTATCCTAGAAAATGATAGACCTGAAACTGGAGCCATATCCTGGAATTGGGGGAATTCTGCATTTTCCATTCTCAGCGCAAACATGAAAGTAAGATATAAAATGCATAATCAGAATACTGTCTCCTGAGGAGCGCTGATGACTTCAGATCTCTCTAAGCTGCTAAGGAAGATTTTCGAATGGCAGTGCTCCCATCAAAACCCAGAAGTGTTCGGGCTGGATATTCACAGTAGTCGCCTCAGGTCTGAACTTCTTAAAACAAATCTGTAAAACCCCARTGTCAGCACGACCAGCTTGGTTGAGCCTGCTGTGGTACAACATGTACAATGACCCACTTTTCCTGGAGTGGGAAATCAATCATTGCATCGTCACACATCACTTTAGGAGCTGCGGTGGCGGAAGTGGCTTTGTTTCRCATTAGCAATTTGGGTGGGCAGAGAAATGGAAAGATGGATGATGGAGATGCAGAGAACAAAATTAAACACGGTTAAATGAGAATCCATTTCCTGCACGCAGTATCTCTGTGCCCGAGGCACGCTGTCTATCAACAATACACAGGTACAAATTGCCCTGCAGACGGATCTTTAACTACCCAAACACAGCAAACTGCATTAGCAGAACGCTCCTGGGCCGGGCTGGGGCTGCCTGACTGCAGAGCAGGCACGTTAGATAGGACAGCTGGCTCTTCCTGGTGACTGAAGTACTGTGGGGTGATTAAAATAACTGCTGCTGTATGAAGAGATTGAAAGGGGGCATTATAACCCGGTGCAGTTAAACCAGAGTGATGGGTGCTCTTGCAATATTTACCATTAGCAGAGCAGGCRCTGTCAAGGTGAGAGGAACGGGACCAGCAGCTCTGGTTTGCTTGGAACAGTGAATAAAAGATAACTTCTATCTTTTTTCTCCCCCTCCTGTTTGAACAGGTAATATTTTTATGCTGCCTTCATCAACACACGGCCATGACTCCTGGGAAAGAAATGAAAGTCTGTTAATTTATTTGATCAGACATGAGAAATAATAGAAAACAGAAACGAAGACTCGTATTTGTCATGTGTTTGAATTAGTGAAAAGCTGAAGAAAGCAGAAAAATATTGCAAGGAGTTCAAAGATGAGAGGTTTTATTGAATTAGAAAATTATTAATAGCATTAATCATTTCCAAAACAGGCTTCTTAACATCTATAATGACTATATTGGAGAAATAAAATCAAAGAAAAAAATCAGATACAGAAAGTTACACTTCTTCTAGTGTTTAGAAAGAAAGGAATTAATTTTCCCTGATTTACAGGCAGCCTCACTGGAATGGTTAATCTGTGGGGAAAAGACCAGGTGAGGATCTAGCCCTGAAGGGATAATTCAATATGAAGTACCAAGAAGCAGCTACACTTCAGATTATAACTAATGTGATGTATAAACTTCCAGGTTAATTCAGCAGTCCTAATTCCTCTTCAGCTTTGCATGGAAAGGAAAAAAAAAAAGGATGCTGAACTTGTAGTTCCATAAATTATATTATTGCAGAGTTAGTTTCTCGTAGCCTCAGGACAGATGCATTCTTCTCRGAGGATGCAGTGAGGTTTGGAAGRTCTTAACAAGGCATCTGAGAACCTGCTGAGAACCAGAGGTGGAGGGCAAGCAAAGTGCTGTGATAAAAGAGGCCTTTGTTTCAAYATAATCATAGCAATGAGCTGTGTTGTTTGATTTATGAAGACATAAAAATAGATGAACCCGGAGATRCAGGTAAAGCAAAAGGTATGAAAAATGGTGATGGGTGATGCAAGCTCTGGGTGAAGACAAGCTATGGGTCAGAGATTGCTGCAAGATTACCGGCTGCACATCTACAGCTCAGCCAGCATGACAGGAGTGGGCACTGACTTGAGAGATATTCCAAGATGTCCTGGCTGGGCAGTGTCCCACAGGGTTTGCACAAAGCTTTTTTGGAAGACCAATACATTTATTTTCTTGTGTTCTAAAAAAGGAGCCACCACCTTAGGGTAGCCTTCAGCTAAATCATTCAGAACAGACACTTGGTCACATGCTGAGATGCCAACTTGAAAACTTCATCATAATCTTGAAGTCAAACAGTTCTTTTGTCTCCCGAAATGGCTTCAAAATGGCTGTGTTTGTAAAARTGTGTGGGGAGGGTCGGTCTGATCAGCAGTGAGTTTCTCTTTCAAAAGCAACTGTAGTTCAGAGYCTGTGGTACGACCTTGTGTGTGTTTAATTCACAAATCCTCTTCTGCTAAAAGAA